CTTATAAAAAAAACTAACTTCGATACTTTACCAGTCACTTGTCTAAAGCGAAGTTAGTTGCAACTTTATGCGTGCATGTACACAACGCTTTAATATATGTATTAGACACATTCTCTGCGGGCAATTTAAATTACTTTGGTGCGTATATCCCCGCTGCAAATAACCGCGAACGCTCACGATTTATCGCAGCTCGATGTTAATTAGGCGCGTGTGTTTCATTCGACCATTTTCGTAATAGATTTGTGCGAACACCTACATTAGAAGTAGATTATGCGTTTACTCACCGTTTTCCTCTCGATCTGCTGTGCTACTACTCTGTAAAAACAAAGTTTACTCACTTTTCACCGTGGGATCCGCCCGTGAGATTTAAATTAATAAAAACCCCGCGGTGTTGCCTGCGGTTTATTAGGGATATTTTCCCGCAGTATTTTTACGTAGCCTATGTATTATTCTAGGGAGTCAGCTAACTCCATACCAAATTTTATTAAACTCGCTCGAGCTGTTTAGACGTAAAGAAGTAACAAACATACACACTCACAAACTTTCGCCTTTATAAAATTAGTGTGATTATGTTCTAATTTTAAATCACACCGCGGATTCCGAAGTGAAATGTGAGCATGTTCTTACAGAATAGCACGGCTGGAGACCGTTATATTTTTTTTCTAAAAAGGCAATCTTAGCTTCCTACTCTACTGATACTTGTACTTAAAACCTTTGTGCTTTTAACATTTTCTGTGTACTTTTAACATTATCTTTTTTATTACTTTTACTTCAAGTATTTGTCAACTATTCAAAAGCATAATTCAAAATTTGCTTGAATTTAATCGCTCACGCGCGGCTGAGAGTCTTACAAAAACTGTACAAAGTGTTATGTAGTTATTTTATTTGTTTGTTTAATTATAAAGGACATTTATATAAAAAAATATCTTCTTTCATATCGTAATATTTTTAGGGAAATAATAAATAATAATAATAATAAATCATTTATTCCTCACTATAATCCGTTGGGATAACAGAAGCAAAATGTTACATACAAGTCGATACAAGATTATGGCAGGTTGATACCTGAACTAGGAAAGATCCTGTATCTCAGGTTATCAACCCTCCACCTCACTATTTTTGAACAATAATTGTGCAGTTATTTTGCATTATGAGCTTATAATCACAGTTGTTGATTGGAGATAATATTACAGAAGATAACAGAATAATTTTGCGGGAATGAATTTAGCCCTTATAAAGTAAAATAAAACTAATTACAATAAATATAAATATATATGTATGTGTGTGTGTGTTTATGTACTTGGGTATGGGTGTGTTTGTATGTTTGTTTTTGTGAAATATCAATGTTGACTAGCAGTCACAATGCCAATAGTTCTGCACTTTCATCTATTCAAATATAAAGTAAATACCTATCCACCGACTGGTACATTAGCGGCCAATATTCGGAACAGATGATAAATTATAATCTGGGAGTATTGTCGTCCGTGTTAATCCGCAGAGCACAATAGTGAGTGAAGTGACGTAATAATAAATAACAGACCAGTGATTAAGGTTACTTACAACTGGTTGTAGGTTGATACGGTGCACTGGAGATGAATCAAAGCGACCGTGTTACGCGTAACGTATCTATGTTGAATAATCGACGACCCGTGCTTATAATATTATTGATATTGTAATAGGATTGAGATAGATTAGAACTTCCTTACTATACTTCTTATATCATCATCAGCCTCTTAATGTCCCCACTGCTGGGGAACAGGCCTTCCCTATGGATGGAATAGGGAGATTGGGCCATGACACGGCGGGTGCTTACGATTGCAGATGCAACCGGGACCAACGGCTTAACGTGCCTTTACGAAGCACGGAGGAACTCGAGATAGAAAATTTTGGTCACCCATCCAATGACCGACCACTGCGAAAGTTGCTTAACTACAACGATCGCAGCCGAACGCGCTAACCACCTGCCCCATCGAGTTCCTCAACTTCTCCTCCTCACTTCTTATATACTAAAGGTGTTATAGAGGAACTCGATGGCGTGTGTGGTTAGCGCGTTCGGCTGCGATCGTTGAAGTTAAGCAACTTTCGCTGTGGTTGGTCATTGGATGGGTGACTAAAAATTCTTTATCTCATCTTCCTCTGTGCTTCGGAAGGCACGTTAAGCCGTTGTTCCCGGCTTCACCCGCCAATCCACACTGGGCCCGCGTGGTGGGTCATGGCCCAATCTCCCTATTCCATTCATAGGAAAGGCCTGTACCCCATCAGTGGGGACATTAATAGGCGGATTGATGATGAAAGGTGTTATAAAGAGAAAATAGAGCATTTCTGTTTTTGTGTTTGCAACGAATAAACTTAAAAACAACAAGACGATTTCAAAAATTCTTTCACGATTTGAAGCTGTCTACATTGTTCCTGAGTGACATATAGGGTACATTTAATTGTGTTAAAATCAATTTTTCCTTTCAAAGTCGGAGTGGATCGCTATTATTGATTACTTACTAACCAGCGATTGCATTATTAGCACCATATAAATTTCCTTTTTATTTCGGTTTGGGTCGCATTTTTCTTGTAAAACTTAATAGAGTTTATGCGTTATTATGAACTCATTTTGGTGGACAGAAAAACAGCTGTAGGATGGCGATAAAAACTGTTTTTAGGTAACTCTATTGATCCTTTTTCAAAATGCCACCCATTTAGTGCTGTCATATGTAATATCTATCCAGATATCTACAGACAGTACAAGGTACAATCAAAGCAATTTTACTAAAACATTATACCCAGGTACATACAAATAAGATACGAAAACACTTTTTCCCCTATGTTACCTAATTTTGAAACTTTGCCAAGTCACATTTTATTTGGTTACCGTTTTGTCTAAGGTGCAGAATATTAACAGCGACGAAGTTCCTGATATGTTGTAGCGTTAAGATGAAGTAATATTCGCATGCTGTGTGAAATTTAAGCCTCCTTAATTTTTATTCTACTTATAAGGGTTGATGAGATGTAGCGCGCTGATCGAGACGGACCAATTAACAAACAAAATTCGAAATGTTAAGCAATTATTACGATCCTAATCTAACACGTCGACACTCCAGTGTTACGCAACAGTAAACTGGCTCCAAGTTTCAGTATAGTTTAGGTCCTGCCTCGAGCGAAGCGTGATCTCTCAGGTACACTCAATGTCGACTACTCGCCAAATCGTAATGCTTGTATCGCATAAAAGGCAGTTGTCAACGAAATGAATTGATGGAGTGATAACGCTCGTAGGTAGGCTACTCTATTGTCCGGTTTATCTTTGCCTAGTTTTTTTTCGTCACATCAACTTTAAGTGAATGTAAATTTCGACGACCTTCACTGCTGTTTAAGAATTAGCCTCTTTCGAGGTAAAGGTAAACAGTGTCATGAGGCAACAAGTTAACAAGAATACGCTACATCCGGTTTATTAAGTGCAAAGTGCGTTTAAACTAGATCTAGAAATCATTTAGTTTTTATAAGTATATATTGGCTTTCAGTAGATTTAAAATAACACTACATAAATGGCTCATTGAACGTAAATTCTACTTGGTCCTGCTTGGTACTGAATTCTTGAATTATAATAGCCAATATATAAATAATATTAATTTTGGTGAATGAGATTTTGAGTGACATATACTGATTTAACTATATTTTTGATTCACATTTTATTATGACCTGATATTAATAGATTTTTTATATTTTTGACTATTTATCCTGTGACCTGTTAAGAATTTTTTATTCAATTATGTGAAATAGTATTAATTAATTTGATAAAAAAACTTATGTAGATTTGCATGCTACGGTCTATAGCTGAAACCTACAGTATGGTTATGTGTTTAACTATTTGTGACCTTGATTACCCTGTTCAAACGCAAATAAATAATTATTCTATTCTATATTTTTGATAGGGGCCATCACAGCAACATGCTTTCTTCTAAAGAATTTAGGCCTACATATTTCTGACGATAGATGTTTCCCTGAGACAGACAGCGGGTTTCATTTATGGAATGGGGACCTAATACATTGTGTAAAAGATAGTTACAAAGTAGTTCAGACGATTTGCTTGCGTTTTATTTTTGTTCGCAATTGCGTAAGGCAAAGTTTGTTGATATCCTTTTTTTTTTGGAAGATCCATTGTTTCTCCAATGTAACTTTGAAAGGTATTTGAGTATGTATTAAAATCTCAATAAATGTAATTTATTTATTAATAAAATGCATCCGTGCGAAGTCCTGGCGACTCGCTTGTTAATAATAAATGCCATATATTGTTTACAAGGTCAAGACCGTGTCGTAGTCAATTACATAATGTACAGAAGCAGATCATGTTCAAGTTTTTCGCTGTTATCTATATCGTTTTAGTAATACTTGGTTATTTTTTTATTAATTAAGTTCCTTTAAAGTTTTCAGTGTGTTCGTTGTAATGTGCTAATTAGGTCACTTTAAATTTAAGCAAAAAATAATAATAAGCGAGTCTATTCGGAAATACATCGAACAATTTTAAAATAATGAATAATAGTCAAATTCAAATTAATCGACTTTTGAAGAGAGTGAAACACAACGGCTTAAATGATACTTTCGGTATCAACAGCATTATGGGTATCATAGGCTAGCCGCCTAGGCGGGTTATATGCTCGTTTGACTTTTAACATACTTATAAAAAAACTTCGGCTTCAAAAGGAATTGAGTTAAATAATTTCTCTGAACTCTTTAAACACAACATTTTAAGCATTTACATTCTATTTGTACGCACTCAGTTTATCAGGATTTAAACCATTTATCACCATAAAATAATACTTAAGAAAAAAATCTCCGTCTTACCTTCATCTACGTAATGGGACTGAGCTACTTACCTTTTTTATTTTTGTATATATTTGTCAGAAAAATAAATACTTATTATTATTATAATTCAAAATCATTGCGACTATATTTACTAACCACGGAAATAAAAATCGCATTAACGTCTAATTATTTTCCTCTCTTTTTCACAGGACCTCCGCTCTTGGCTGAAGTCTAAACACGTGCAGGGCTTGGAGATCCACGATGCTCACAAGTCACTCAACCGGACGAAGGTCTTGGAGACAGTGGAGAACGCACGATCAGCACTCAGCTCCACTGGCGGTGGCCCTTTGTTCCTCGCGCTGCCTTCGCACCCTGAACTTCTGGCGAAGTACTACGATCTGAGGGCTTTGGTGAAGAAGGTAGATCTGATGATGGTCCAGACGCATGCATTGGGAGTAGCGAAGAACATGACGTACCATCCGAGTCGATTGAGCGGACTATGGGATATGATGAATACGGTAATTTTATATGTTTTTTTCTTATTACCTTTTGTTTGTTAGACTTCCTTACTCGTTGTGGGATATACTAGATTCTAACCCTCATATATTCACATTGCAAAAGTGTGACACGTATAATACTAGATATTCGGTATTCGATAAGTTAAAAGCTATTTCCTTTCTTTATCTTAAATTCTTTGCTTCTCTTATATTTATGTAAGTACAGCTCCTGTATCTACTTTTGCACCCTTCTATATTTCTCTATTATTATTCCATTTCTACCATAGGTTGCCTGGAAGAGATTGCTGTTTAGCAATAAGGCCACCTATTGTACTCTTTCTTCTGTATTATTTGTTTTTGTCTTGTGTCCAATAAAGAAAATTTATTATTATTATATTCATATGCCATAAAATTTACTTAATATAAAGATAAATATTCAAATGTTGATTTCAAAATTTACTTCCTCAAATGATTATATCGATTCAGGCGGATATTCTACAACGTCCACATTTTTAATGTCTTTTATTATGATGTAATGAGTTCGGATTTGTTTTGATTGCTAGTGTACTAACGTATAATTCGTTACTCGTAAAGCTATATTAGATAGAATTCATGTTCCATTTTAAAGGCCCGTCGGCCTAGACCTAGACTAATCGCCTACGATTGCAAGCCACATCGAAAACGATTAACGGAATTTAGCAGCTCGTTATCGTACTTAGTAAAATAGAAGATTCTGTTTTATCTTAATAAGCTATTTGAAAGTATGAAAAATAAAGTACCAATTGTTGGCATCTGTGTTTAATATAAATATTAACAGCGATTTTACTATTCAGAGAACACGATTAATTAATAACTACTGTAAAAAAATATTAAACATTTTTTTTTGTTGTTCTATAATCACGTTTACTAGCGTATGACGTTATTTTAGTCTACGCCAATCCCAGGTGTTTGCGACTAAAATGATGTCACACGCTATTAACTTCCGGTCAAAGTGCCATTACGTTGTATCGTTTGACGTTTAAATAACAGTCGTGTGCAACTTGAAAATTGAATTTTTGATTTAGTTTTTTTTTTCAGACAGAATGATGAATATCCACTTTTTATGGACTCTACAAGTATTAGTATTTATGAAATTTTTGACGACCTCCCTGGCCGAGTGGTTTGTACGCCGGGTTTCCTGGTGTCGCCGACTCGAGAGGTCCCGGGTTCAAATCCCGGTGGGGGCAGATGTTTGTGTGATGAATACGAGCATTTGTATTCCTTTGTTGAAACTTGTTTTATTTGTATGAGTATTTTCTTTATGTTACTAGTTCCACAAATCGAGGGAAATTAAGTATGAGAATGGACACATACCACCAAATTAATAAGAAGTCATAGAAAAAAACGTTAACAAAAATTTCACAAAACCATCATAACGTTGCAAGTGAAATACGACAAAAGTTTTAACTTAATACTACGGGGCCTTAAAATACTCACCTTATTAAAAGACATTATTATGATTAAAGTTGACATACTATCACATTGTATCACAATAGATCATAATGACGTAATTAGCCTGCACACAGATTTACGAGGTGTCGGTCGCCCCGTTTCGACAAGTGAATACAATCCGATCTAATGTGATTATCTTAGTGATTTATTATGTCACATAGCTGTAATTTCAGCCTGATTGAAAGGTGATACAGTTATAAAGTTACGTCAACATCTTCTATTATGTAAAATTTCTCGGAAGCCTGTTTATAGATTAGGTAATGAAAGATATACTGGGTCTGAGCCACTTAGAAGAATGTAGTCATAATAATTTTGAAACAATAACTATAGTGTAAACAGTTTATTTGGTTTATTCGTATACAAAAGAGGATGATAAGAATGCCAAGAAATAAAAAATATAAAACAAAAACATAAACATTGCAGGCACTTTCTTGGTTAAAGAGTTTACTAAATCCAATACTATCCGATGGTGCTAAGACTAATGCTTTTTAGTGACTTTATTAATGAACAGACGTAGGTAGTTATTGCATATTTAAGCATATGTTAGTGACTTGAATATCTCTTCTAGTTACTAAGTTTGATACCTGTTGTAGTGTGGACCTTAGTATGAAGTCAAACGAGCGTTAATTTTTGAGTTGTGAGTCGCGTAATTTCTGCTGCATTCGGTTTCATAGAAAAGTCCTGTTTGATTCACACCGCGACGCCAAATGAGACAGGACTTTTCATAAAACCGAATGCAGATAAAATTACACGACTCACAACTCAAAAACTTACGTTTGTTGGGCTTCTCCTAATTAGCCTACTTATAAAATTAGCTAGGTACCTAAATCTACTATTTTAATATTTCTTATAAAATAAAAGTTTTGCTTTTAAATTTAATTCTTAACAACCATCACGATACTATTAAAATAAAATCGATCGTGCGAGTCTTGGCGGATAAAATAGCCATAAGTTCGCACGGCGAAGGTAAACTAGAAAAATATAACAATTTTAACTGCAGTTAGGTTCACCGTTCGTATGTAAGGTTAGAGTTTAAATTCTTATTTCGCAATAGTAATTAAAGAGTTGCTGTTCTGAACTAGGCCACATGATAAGTCAGTCAGGTGGATCTTTAAATTACAAATTCGCAAACGTATTTTATTTTTATTGGGTTTAAAGTTAAATGAGTACTACGTTGCATAAAGTTAAGTTACACGTTTCAACATGACCGGTTAACTAAACTTGTGTATATTTATTTTAGGAGGAGCTCGATGGCGCAAGTGATAAGCCCGTTCGGCTGCGATCTTTGAAGTTAAGCAACTTTCGCATTGGTCGGTCATTGGATGGGTGACCAAAAATTTACTATCTCGAGCTCCTCTGTGCTTCGGAAAGCACGTTTTAACCCGTTGGCCCCCGCTGCATCTGCAGTCGTTAGCACACACAAAACCGCACTGGGCCCGCGTGGTGGTACATGACCCAATCTCCCTATTCCATCCATAGGGAAGGCCTGTACCCCAACAGTGGGGACATTAATAGGCTGATGATGATGATGGTATTAATTTTATTACGATGGCAATATCGTAGTTGACATGTACTAAACATGCGGAGCGGGTTAATGCACTTTAAAAAAGTCATGGCAGATCAAAGAATTCGATGATGTTTATAGTAATTGTTTTTATTTTGAATTAACAAAGAATATTGATAATACCTAAATTTTACTTTATCATCAACCTATCAAGGCCGCTAGTCCTTTGGCTTTGGGCGAAATAGGTTTAATATACTATTAAGAATAGTTCTAAACTACGTCTAAGAAAAAATACCTTATATTCGTTACTTAAGTTTTAACGAACGCCACTCATTAAATGAAATACATTTAAACGTGTTTAAAATGCGTCTCCTTTATTACTTTTTTTACAAGGCTTGATGTTTATGCATTCTGACAACGCATCCTGAAAAGCTCTGTAAAAAACTAAAAACTAATAAGGTAAACACATTTTAAACCCGTTTAAGCGTGTTTTGTTTACCAGATATTAATGCCTCGACTTCACTAAACAACCAAAGCCATAAAAACGGACATCTGCATGATTACATATTTTGATTGACATTCTAGGATTCCGTCGTAGATTTGGTGGTTGGTCTCGGGGTTCCAGCTTCGAAGGTCGTGATCAGTTTGCCTGCTACCGCTCAGAAGTTCACCCTGCTCAACGAGACCCTCAGTACTCCCGGCAGCCCCACCATGGAGGATGAACCCAAGGAGATCGACCAGGCTGAGCTATGCAGGCTGCTGCAAAGAGACAGGTGGACGCTGGAACGAGATCAGGACCTTTCAGGACCCTACGCTTTTAAGTAAGTTTCTCATCTTACCAAAGCCAGTTCAGGAGCCAGTTTGTTCTTCCGTCACGTTCGGTAGCGGGGCTGTTTAGTTTTCATAGAAACTTTGACGATGCGATACGAATACAGAACTGTCAAAGTTTATGCTTCGCCCTCTGGTAAAATCTCAGTAGTTGGCGATAAAATCACGCCTTTGCTATCTTTTATAGAATACTAGCTGTCAAAAATAGGGGTTGGTAGTAGAAGGGTGAAAATTTAGGTTTGTTTGTATTTTTGTATGATGTATCATAAAAAAATTAAAAAAAACCCCTTAACATTTAGGGGGATGAAAAATAGATGTTGCCCGATTCTCAGACCTACCCAATATGCACACAAAATTTCATGAGAAACGGGAAAGCCGTTTCGGAGGAGTTTAACCACAAACACCGCGACACGAGAATTTTATATATTAGATTTTTTGAGGTACAAATTCTTTGTACTAAAAATTGGGTTTTATAGGTACTAATAATTAGTGTAATAGACGTTAATGCCAAATACAGTAACATTCTGTAGTGGATCAGGGTTTTGGAAAGGTTAGGGATAGGTTTGTTCAATGCAAATATTGTAAACGGACATAAAATTAGAAGACCCTCATGCTTAGGAGAGCTTGGTATTAAGCTCGTCAGTTATAGTTCTTTAGTCATATAAAATTATGCTCTATGTTTATTAAGGAAGGTCAGACCCGTCTTTCCCAGTGGGCATTTTGGGCAAGTGCCCAGGGCCCCGCGATCGATAGGGGGGCCCCTCATATCAAACACAAAGTCCCTAGTTCCTGTTAAACCACCAAACAGAAGTCATAAGGGCCCCATTATCCTAAAATGCCCAGGGCCTCCAATAGGTCAAAGACGGCACTGAGCAAGGTATTTTGTAATTTACGTTAAACCCATTTATTTCATTTTGGTGTTTATATTGGAACCGTGAGAAAAGACAGAACGTTGTGCAAAATCATTAATGATTTTAAATGCCTACTTATACCGGATTATTATCGCTATGGCTATTTATTTGGAGCTTTCGAAATCGGTGACATCAATTAAGTTATTTATACATATGCAATATGATTTCATTATTATGTAAACACTTACCTACTCCAGTTTTTTCTCATCTTAAATCGATATTTTTATAAGCAAAAAAAGTTTTAAAAAAAGTGACCAAAAATCTTCTTTCTCGAGTTCCTCCGTGCTTCGGAAGGCACGTTAAAACGTAGGTCCCGGCTGCATCTGCAGTCATTAGCACCCACCAATCCGCACTGGGCCCGAGTGATGGGTCATGGCCCAATCTACCTATTCCATGGGACATTTATAGGCTGATGATGATGATGATGAAGAGGAGTATTTTCAAAATCTGTAACATTTGGTTTTTCCTTATAAATTTTATATTCTATTATTAATTACTAGATGTAGATTAGTTTTAGTTTTTGTTAATGCAAATTTGGAGAAAAGATTCTCTATCACATGTTTGTTTACACTTAAAAGAGGATCTCAACAACTGTTGAACACATCAACTTGAACAGAGATAAATAGTTTTCATTTTCATTTTATGAGAGTGAACTTGTAGGTAGCTGCAGCAATATTAAATTTCGGAATAAAATAATAATTTTTGTATTATAACTAAGACAGTAAAATATATTTCAAAGAAAGCAAATATTCACAAATTTTACTTGTAATCTTCATATTTATAAGATCTTAACCTTAATATAAGCCTTACAGTGTTTACTATAGGGCTTAGTTAATTGGTGTGCCTGGAAAAAATGTTTATTGAACTTATACTTCTTATGGGAGGGTAAACCGCTTCGTTACGTAACGCGTTACGGCGCCAATCTGTCTGCCTTTCCTTCCTCTCACGCATACGGCAGCTGTAGTTAGGCTCTTCCTCTCTCACTCTAACCCGCAGTGCCGCTTAGATTAGTATAAGTTATCACTTCTGTTTTAAGACGCACACGCTCATTTTTTTATTATTATCTATTCAATAACGTTATAAATCCAATCCCTTCATATCTTCAGTAAAAATTAAAAAGATATATTTAAGAGTAACGACCTTGCATTGCTCAAAATAAATGCTCTGGTATCATTGCAATAGTTTAACGTATATCTTATATCTAGTAGGTATTATGTTTTATGTTAGCGGAGAGTTGCGTGCCCTGAATACCGACTGCTCATCACGGAATGTTGCCAGATTAACCTCGCATACGATACCCTTACAAGACTTGTTATTATCATACTTTTGTAAATAGGAATACTTTAAACGATGATTTTCCTTAAGTTTTATTAAATTATCTTTGCACTCCTTGTAAATGTCTGACTTGCCGAAGTTTTTTTTATTCAAGCATATTCGGGAATATTTTGTTGTTTTAATAAGAATTTTGTTTTAATGAAACCGTGTATATTTTCTGTGTTGGTTTGGTAACATAACAGCACAGAGCAGAAAGTTCTGTGGATAACAGCGTTAAGTCGAAGTTTATGAATTTAAAGTAACTTTAAGTAACCTGGAGAATGAAGTGTGAATTCAATAACGATTTTTTTAAATGACTTGGTGGGGCATTACAGATACTAAAGAAGATCTATGAATAAATAAATATTATTATATTAAACTTAATTATAGGTAGGTAGGTACTTACTTAAGGCTCTCAAAGAGATGTCAATTAAAAAATTATTTAAGTTTGTCTAAAGCTCTTAATGCCGTCACTTTTGTTGCGATAACAAGGAGGTCTCAGACACTAAGTTACCAAATAAAGCTTTTTAATTAAATTAACCTCTGAGATAAAAGAAGAAAAAAATACAGTCTACTAAAAATTGGGTCTGAAAATACCCTTGCTTTTTTTAGATGCCTTTAGCACTGTGAAAAATCTTTTTCATCACCTATAATTCTGGCCTCAAAACTAAACTTTTTGGTTTAAAGAATTTATTTTCTCATACGTTACAAAGACAGTTGACCTAAAATGAGATATACAACAAAATAAATTTAAATGGCGCAATGTTTTTAACAGGAACACCACATGGATATCCTTCGAAGACGCGTCTTCTGTAGACGTGAAGGGTAAATACGCCAGGGTGCGCGGCCTCGCCGGCCTCGCGCTGTACAAGGCCGACCGCGACGCTGAGACCCCGTGCGGACCGTCGCTGAAGGCTTCGCTAGCTAAAGTCCTCAACCAGCAGAGCAGGGCTCCAAGAGCTGCGATTTTGAGGTAAAGCATTTGTCACAGATTTTACTCTTTTTACTGTGGTAATGAAGGTTTAATACATCGAGGTCAGTGGCTTAACTGCGTTGTTGAAAATCACTGGGGATCGATTTTGGTTAAAGTCCTCAACCAGCGGAGCAGAACGCCGAAACCTGCGATTTTGTGGTAAAACATTTGCTGCAGTATTTACTGCTCTGTGTGTGTAAAGGGTAAATACTTAAGGGTGCTTAGACTCGACGACCTCGCGCTTTACAAGGCCGACCGCGACGCCGAGACCCCTTGCGGACCGACGCTGAAGGCTTCGCTGGCTAAAGTTCCCACCAGCAGATCAGAGTACCGAGAGCTGCGATTTTGAGTTAATTATAATAACATTTAAGGTATTGAGGTAGGTCTTTGTTACAGAGTTTTCTCTTCCGTAAGCTCTATCAGAGTGGACCAAATCTAAAGGATTCTTTGGCTGAGGTCCTTAACTAGCAGATCAGGATTTTCAGGTAAAGCGTTTGCCACAGATTTTAATTTAATCTTTGAATTATCAAAGAATTAAATGTGGTATCCGAATGCGTGGCTTCGCATTGTGCAAAGTCCAATACAATGATGAAAACCTCCGCGGATCGATTCTAAAGAATTTGTTGTCTAAAGTCCTTAGTTGGCAGAACATGGCTCTGGGAGTTCCGATTTTGAGGAAAAGTGTTTGCCATGGTTCATGCTTTAGTTAAAATATGCGCCTGCTCAATTACCACAGCAAATGTGATGGGTAGAACAAAGGCTTTTTGTTCTCAGGCTTGTGTTATAAACAATAACTTTATTTATATAATTACACGTGTTATTGTGAGTCAACCATAAAAGATAGACATATGCTGTTGCGGGATATTTTTTAGACAATTTTATGTAGAATAATTCCGTCATACATAATTTTTATGTAACTTTAATCATTAAAGCTGTACACGCGACGGAAGCTTAAAAAATGGAGTAACTTCTCCCGTTTTTCCAATATTTCCCTTCACTACTCTGCTCCTATTGATTGTAGCGTGATGAAAAGTATACTATAACCTGCCCAGGAGTATGAAGAATAATTGTACCAAGTTTCGTTAAAATCTGTCGAGTAGTTTTTGTTTCTATAAGGAACATACACACAGACAGACAGACAGACAAAAATTTTACTGATTGCATTTTTGGTATCAGTATCGATCACTAATTATCCCCTGATAGTTATTTTGAAAATATATTTCATGTACAGAATTGACCTCTCTACAGATTTATTATAAGTATAGATAAGCTCCTAATCAGTTCTCAATAGCAAATGCCATAGACAGAATAAGGATTTCATTAGTATTTTTTCTTCTTGGTTTGTGATTTGGAGTAGGGGCGTTTTTTACAAATCTGGCGCCCAGGGCCACTTACTTCCGATTTACACCCCCACTCCCTAGAATCACTAAAATCAATGAATACTATTCTGTTGCTTTTGCCGCCCCTCGGCTATTAGGCTACTGCCCCTGACCATGGCCCTCTTGGCCCTATGGTAAATACGCCCCTGGAGGCAAGGCAATCTGGACTTAATCATTGAGAGTTCTGGGTTCGAATTCAAATCCGGTTAACATAGAAATTATAGAGATAGGTATATTAGAGCTTTCCTGCCTAGATAGGTATGTTAAAAAAACGGAAAGAGATTATCCTTAACTTGTACTGGAGGTCGATTATATTGATGCTCTTTTGTTAGTGATAATTTCCTATTAATTTGTGGCATATGTTGCAATAAACTACATCGTTATTTCAGGTCTCTGGAGCACGAGATCCTGTCAGCCCCAGGGCACGCGCGAGCCCTGGACGCCCTACAAGTGTCGCCGTACCGCATCACGCAGGTCGTCGACTCGGATGGCGTTATCCACTCCATCAGAGAGGTACATACCGGCCTACTGTTACACTAGAGGTCAGATCCTGTCGGCCTCAGGGCTACAAATATCACGCAGGTCGTCGACTAGGACGGCGTCATCCACTCCATCGGAGAGGTATATATGTACCCGCTTCTGGAACACTGGAGCACAGATCCTGTCAGCCCCAGGCCTATAACTATAAGTGCCGCCGTACCGCATCATGCAGGTCGTCGACTCAGACGGCGTCATCCACTCCATTAGAGAGATACGAGTATATACTTGTCTACTGTTACACTGGAGCACAGATCCTGTCGGCCTCAAGGCTTCAAATGTCGCCGTACCGCATGACGCGGATCGTCGACTCGGACGGCGTCATCTCGTCTCGTCATCAGAGAGGTATATACCTGCCTACTGTTACACTGGAGTACAGTTTCTGTCGGCCTTAGTGCACGCGCTTTAACATCAATAGCAATAGATGATGTTGATGAAGGCTCTTGATGTCCTCAATGCTGACACAGGTCCCTAACTACCTATGTAATTTGTGGAAGTCAGGTCCAGTACGCTTGTTATGTTAAACTTGGTTCACTTGGGTCATTTATGTTAACTAATATCTTATTGTGATGTAGGCAGTTTCAAAAGTATGAAACTCAGATATTTATTAAAGATTTTCCTTTTTTAAAGAAAAACTGTTTTAAGCGTATAATGTGAGCAATAAGATATACATTCTTAGTTTTTTACAATCCGTTCTACAAGGCGTCTAGGAAGTGCTTTTCCTCCAATTTTGATATTTGCCTTGCTCTTCCAGCTAAGCACGGAAGCCAGTTTTTTAGCTAATAGTTAATTTTAGTACATTTGTTTATTTATTATAGCAAAACATACAAATTTCAGGACACTAGGACCGAGTTTACTTGCTCTAGACAAGGATATTTTGTGCATCCGCGCTCCTGTGCCAGATTCTACCGCTGCGTCAAGTTCGATCAACTCTCTCCGGAATATACCGTAAGTAAATAAACATTAATTAAGCACGAAGATTTTAGTGCAAGTAGTTCGTGAATTTAAAAAATTAGTGAGTAAATCATATAAGAGGTGCAAGTCTGAAATTTCAATTGTTACATTTACTAAAAGAAGCGATGGCTATTCGAACAATGAAAAAAAAAGCCGCTGTTGGTATCTAAATTTCTCTTCGGTTCTTTTCTGTATACCTAAAATGATCCCTTATGAAATGTATGTTTGAATCACTGAAAAAATCAAATCAATCTTAATAAATACGCCTAGACCATAACTTTAGTGTATAAAGTACTGTAAGACGTATTATGGGATATTTGAATATCGGTGTACGCATTACTTTACCAGGATTATCGCCGAAAGGGAAAGCTTATTTAACGTATTTAAATGAGGATCATTACTAGGTCAGCAAATCAACAGCATAATGATTTAATAAGCTTTTAATTAATATACTTTTCAAATTTAATATTAAGCAATTTTATGGAAGCCAATATTCACCGTCGGCCGAAACGTGTGACGTCACAGAGCTCGATCGTGGTTCACTCCGGTCGAACTTCAGTAGCGTCTCTACGCACGCTTGCGCCCTAGTGTGCTAGCTCTGTGACCTCAAAGTCACCACGCGGCCAGCGGAAAATTCGTTAAGTAATTTAATCATAACTTTGTCAATATTTGTCGTAGCACAAAAATTTTACTACTGTATTTTATGGAACCCTTAGCTCTATTAATCTGCATTCTCAACTAAAATCGATCCTCATTATCTAGATAGACGCTTACAGCTAATTTTAATGTAGTAGTGGGTTTGATTGCTCACTATCGTCTGGTAGGCGTTTGTATGAAACAGCGTATTTACCTTCCGATGTTATCACCAGGTGTTCGAATTCGACTGCCCCGCGGGTCTAGCGTTCGACTCTCGCTACGAGGTGTGCGTGTGGCCCGGCAGTCTGCCGCACTCGCAGGCATGCCCGGGATCCTCGGAGATCGCACCCGTGCCCCAATCCCGGTTCAAATGTCCACAATATGAAGGTATGTTCAACTTCCATGCTTATGGCTAGGTGTTTGAGTTTGATTGATCCGGGACTGGCGCGCGGTGGGGCCATTCCGCGCGCATTTCCCGCTGCTTCGGCCTGCATAACCAAGAAGGTTCGTCAGGCCATGGCCCATGGGTGCTTGGAGGGATTTGATCCGAGTCTGGCGTTCTACTTCATGTTCCGGGCAGACGGCCCGGAACATAAAGGTTAGCAGTATGGTCAACTTCCATACATAACGCTAGGTGTTCCTGCCACGGCTCCTCGGAGATCACCCAAGTGCCCCAATTCCGGTTCATCAGTCCTCAACGTGACTGTTAGTACTCAGCAGTATATTATTTACTAGTGTGCTAGTCTGAGCAGCATTATCTATAGAAGTAAATAATAGAAATACATAACGCTAGGTGTTTAGTTAGACTGCCGATTGGTTCTGGCCTGTGACTCCTGCTTCGTCTGTCCGTCACATGAAGATTAGTGTAGTATGTTTAATTCCAATACATAGCGCTAGGTGTTTCTGTCCCGGCTCCTCGGAGATCACGCCCATGCCTCATTTTCGGTTTATCTGTCTCCAACATAATGGTTAGTGATCAACAGTATGGTGAACTTACATATAAGGCTAGGTGGTCAGGTCGGCAGCCTGCTGCACTCGGAAGCTTCCGCGAAATCCCCGGAAAACGCGCCCGTGCCCCATTCCCTGTTCATCTGTCCTCAAAATGAAGGCTCAACAGTATAGTCAACTGCCATACATAACGCGAAGTGGTCAGTTGACAAACCCTTGGGTCTGGCGATCGAGTCCCGTTTCGTCTGTCCGACACATGAAAGTTTGTGTGCAGTACTGAAGAAATAATTGGCGTAGGAAAAGACGTCACCCCGGGACTGACACACCACTAGAGTGAGTTGAAAAATTAAAAACTGTGTTTAAGCTAATCCATTATGAAATAAAACAAAATATTCTGGCCTCATTCAGCTGTTCCCCACTATGCAGTGTCAGACATTATCGTTCTGTGAATTGTTGATGAAGGACGATGAATTTTAGTTAAGTATATTTTTATTTTTTAAGAATTTTACTGTTAGATGTTTAAATCCAAAGAAAATTATACTAGAAAAATGCCACGCGGAGTTGTTCCACGCGGGTAGCATAATGGTCAGTGCATCCGCCCGGATCGGTGGTGCGGGTTGGAGTCCCATCTGTTGCCTGGTCCGTGTTTAATGATGAATATTATTATCATCTAGCCGACTTAAAGTAATAGTGTTCTTGTTCTATGAATGTAGAAGAATTAATTTTAGCAAATTGAAAGTAAAAAAAATGCTCTCTTAGATTTGATGATTTTTAAATAAAACTAGTTTTTACGGGTTAATGCACGAAACTTTATTTATTTATTGACGTTTCGTAGCCTTTACAGACTTCGTCGTCAGAATAAAACTTTTATTTAATTTGTCGAGCTACCTTCGAAAGACTTTTATTGAGCGTTTGGTTATTTCATTGTTCGATTTTTAAGTTTTATTGTGTATGTATGAATTTATTATTTAATTTACTTAATAAAGTATTTTATTTAAAATTCTTGTTTGTAATTTTGAGTTTATTTATTTGACCCTAACTACCGTAAACTACCACCGGTTCCAAAATTGGGAGACCTTCCTGAGAAGAACCGGCGAAACAAACTCAAGAGAGGCTTTCTATCTCCTTCTTATGTTAAATTATGCAAACAAAAAGAACTAAAATAAATAAATAAAGTTTCGTGTATTAACCCGTAAAAACTAGTTTTATTTAATGAGTGAAGTGCGTGAAAACCTAAGAAACAAATTTGATGATTTTTATTATTTACCTTGCTGAAAGGTAAACCTTACTTGTAAATATATAATCATCATCATCAGCAGCCTATTAATGTCCCCACTGCTGGGGCACAGGCCTTCCCTATGGATGGAATAGGGAGATTGGGCCATGACCCACCACGCGGGCCCAGTGCGGATTGGTGGGTGCTAACGACTGCAGATACAGCCGGGACCAACGGCTTAACGTGCCTTCCGAAGCACGGAGGAGCTCGAGATAGTAATTTTTGGTCACCCATCCAATGACCGACCACTGCGAACGTTGCTTAACTTCAACGATCGCAGCCGAACGCGCTAACCACTTGCGCCATCGAGCTCCTCAAATATATAATAAAGCACTTTAACTTTTGGTTTTCATATTTTCAGTCTTTCTATGAGAATCGTCAAAGAAAAATCAAAGTCTTTGTTAATTAACGATGTTTCATTTGTGTCAGGATACTACGCGGACCCCGAGAACTGCCGCTGGTTCTTCGCGTGCATGGACCACGGGCAATCGTCGCTGGTCGCGTACGAGTTCCGTTGTCCGTTCGGGCTCGGGTTCGATGCAGAGAGACTCAAATGCGACTGGCCGTGGTTGGTGCCTGCCTGTGGACACATCGCTCGGTACGAAGCGCAAGCTCATGGATTCTCCACCGCTATACTTACGGGTGAGTATTCTTTTTACTAGATACTTAGCTATTGATTCCACTGCAATCTGATATGGCTAGTCCACCGCCATACTCACGAGTAAGCTCACAAAAGGTTTAGCTATTGATATAAAGCGTCAGAACAGCTGACCTCTGCTTAAGGTGGGCTTTCGAAGCGAACATCAGTGACGCCGCGAGAGAGCGTCAGATAGAATTTCTATGCAAATGTCAATATCAGCGTTGGTCAAAGCGGCACTGACAATGCCATTTGCATAGGAATTCTATCTGACGCTCGCTTCGAAAGCCCACCTTTACCGGGCACCGACCAATCATCATCATTACGATGACGTAGGTATAGTTAGACTAGATAGCGCAGGTGGTTAGAGAGTTCAGTCAGCGTTCGAGCTTCTCCGTACTTTAGAAGGCACGTTAAGCCGTTGGACCCGGCTGCATCTGCAGTCGTTAGCACCCACCAATCCGCACTGGACCTACGTGGTAGGACATGGCCCTATCTCCCTACTTATTCCATCCATTGGGAAGGTCTGTGCTACAGTAGTGGGGACATTAATGATAATGATGATGACTCTTTACACGACCGCCAAAAAAAAACTTTCAGTGTTTATGTATTTAAAATTATTGATTCCACCATGGTGGTCCTGCCCGCCTGTTAGAACCACTGCCGAGTGTATGAGTATCTATATAAGTTCCAATAGCATAATTTATTATATTTTTCATTTGACTTCAGGTGCTGCAGGCTTTCAAGGACAAACAGCAGATGCTGTGAATGTAGCCGCTCATCAAAGTCTCGTCTCCGGAGCGTCTCTCGACAACTTAGTCGGTATCCAAGGAGGATTCCTGACTAAAGCTGATTCCTTAGATTCTAATTTCATCGCTTCCCAGGAATTATCTAACGGACAGTATTCCGCAAATGGTCAAAGTTATAATATAGCACACAGTGCCGATTCTCAGCTGGGTTTGGTGCAAGCGACAAAATATGACGAAAACGAAAAATATACGAGTGGTTCAATCATATTAGACGATTACCGACTACCGACGAAATCGAAAACTTCACATGGTCAAATCAATCAAAATGTTGGCCAATCAAGTTTCGAACAAAGCGCTGGACAATATAACAATGGTTACAGTGCATCTTACACTGCCTTAGGAAATGCTCAATATAAAACTGGCAGCAATTACGAAGATGATTCTGGCGCGTATGTTCATGATCCTTCGGGTGATTACGCCGAACCCTACAGACATGTAGATTCTCCAGCTGATGCATACGTTCACAACGATGCTGGTTACAAACAATCCAGTGATTACTACGACTATAATAGGTACTCAGGGTCTTCCCAAAGTAACTCAAATGGAAAATATACTGCAGAGAACAGTGGACAATATGTTCATGATGACTCAGGCGCATATGTTGATACGGGTTCTTATAATGGAGCGTATAAAGATTATTCTGGCTCTTATGCTGATTATTCCGGCACGTACAATCAAGACAATTCCGGGAAATATGAGTCGGGTGTATATAAATCAGATGCTTATATTGGAAATTCTGGATCAGATACAGGATTTATTAATAATGCTAAAATAAGTAGTGACATTAATGCTAAACAATATCAAGGGGCGTACAGTGCTATTAATTCAGGCAACTATTTGACTGATTCGAAAGCTTTCACAGGCGCTTCGCATACGTTGACTGCTGGCGCGGTTAATGTCGGTTTGGTTGGTAAAACAACTTTAGTTGATGCTGCATACACAGACCAAGGTAATACTTACCAAACTAACAATGGATACAATTATGCTTCTACTGTGAGTCATGGTTCATCACAGAAGACTATTCATCCTGGTCATGTGTCATATATTTCTCAGCCCGCCGTTTCCATTCATCATCTCGGAACTGATGGTAACAATCTGGACGGCTATGGTTCTGTGACTACTCCTACTTCGTCTGGCATTCCCACTACTGCTACTCCTTTCGCTGTTACAACATCATTGCCAGTTACGTCGTATAAAACAACTTTTGTATCTGAACCACCCAAGTCCAGTGTCAAACAAATATTTAGTATTGCTCAACCTGAACTAACATACGTGAAACCTGCTGTAATAGATGTTAAACAAGAATACGTTACACCTAGAGTTGAAATAACTAATTATAAACAAGCCGACAACTCTGGTAATGGTTATTCTTACACAGCTCAACATTCTAGTCAAACTTCTGGAAAATCTGAATCATCTGGATACGATTATACAAAACCTGCAATACAATTCGAAGAAGGCGTAACTTATACAACTCCAGCTCCCGTTGTGTCAGTATCTACTTATAAACCACAAGGATTCAGCCACAGCCAGCAAACTTTACATAGAGTGGAATCAGTAGGGTTTGATTACGCTACCGCTACTCCAGTCAATGAACCACAATTCAAGAAACTGGTGGCTTATACTACTGGACCATCTGTTAATGTTCAGCCTACAGTTGCGACTGCTCAATCATATAGCCATCAAACAATTCATAATGTAGGTAATAGTAATACTTATAACCAAGAATCAAATAATGGATACGCCAAAGTCGAAATTGCTAGTGAACAACCGCAACAGATATTTGAAGTAACAACAGCACAACCGATTGTAGTATCGTCTACATATCAACCACAAGTATATAGCCAAGAGACTGTTCATCAAGTAGATACTAACAAAGTTAATACTTATCAAACATCGAACTCTGGTTATGAATATAAGAAGCCTAGTGATTCTGGATACAAATATGAATCACCACAAGTCAGATTTGAGGAAGCGCCTAGGACCGTTTATACATTCTCTACTCCAGCGCCAGCGGTTTCAACGTACCAACCACAATCGTACAGCCATCAAACAATTCATAAGATCCAATTACAGAACTATGTCCCAGTATCATCAACACCTGCTCCCAGTGTAAGACTAACTTATCAGCAACCCACTGTATCTACATACGTAAATCCAATCTTGCAATACACACAGAAAGTTACCCCAACATATGTTACTAATGCGGAGCAGGAATACAAAGCCTACAGTCCATCAGTCGATGTCAGTTCGACGAGTTATGAATCTAGCATCTCTTACCAAGAGCCCAAAACAGCCATCCATTACACGACTGCTCAACCGGCAATAGCTTTACAACCTGCGATTTCTACTTATCAACCCCAAATTATTAGTCATCAAACTTTACACAACGTAGAAGCTAGTAAAGTAAATACATATTCACAAGGTGAATCAAATTATCAATATCAGAATCTCTCACCTAATTATAAAGAAGAACCGCAAACGGTCATACAGATTTCTACCCCGGCCCCAGTTGTGAGTTCAACCTACCAACCCCAGACATACAGTCATCAAACAATACATAAAGTCGAAGCACAGAAATTTTCTCCAGTGTTATCCACAGTTGCTCCTGCGGTAAAACTAACGTACCAAGAGCCAACTGTATCTATTTATGAAAATCCTCTTTTGAAATATACTCAAAAAGCAACTTTTGTAAAACCTACCGCTACTGTTTACACTGAAAACTATCAACCTATTGTTCATCAACACGAGATCACTCACATAAGTCAGCCCGTTCAGTATCAGTCGGCAGCTCAAGAATCTTTCTCTCATCAAAATAATCACTTTGGACAAGAAGGTTATTCATACAGTCAACCAGAAATTCAAAGAAACGAGGAACTAATCTCCGGTAAATCCTATTCTGATGCAAGCATTGTGTCGCATCAGGTGTACCATCAAAACAATGTTAAGTTGCAACCTGAGAAGGATGTAGTGTTCGTGTCAACAACACCGTCAACGATAGTTCATGAAGAGCATTATGCCGAATATGAATCGCCAAAGATAGTACAGTATAAGGCTCCTGAGTACATTCCTCCGAGGGTAGCTTCAGTCCCTATTGCACATCAAAGTTCGATAACTCATCAGGCACAAGACAACAGGAATTATCAATCATTTGATTATTCTCAACAATATGAAACGGTTCCAGATGTACCAGTTCAACAAATCTCGTTCAGTACGTCTCATATATCACAACCGAGGAAAGAATCTGTTCACTTATCTTCATTCCCTGGAACTAAAGTAGTTACGAAATATAAACAACTTGCTCAAGAAAATTATAAAGCTAATGAATATTTACCGCCTGTTGAGGCATCATCCATCCCCATAGTATCGTCTACCTACGAAACAGTCAGTTCAACTACAAGGGAATATTTACCTCCTGTTTCAGTAACAAGATTCGATAGTGAAAAAACATACAATCCTTCTACTACTACACAAGAACCACCTTACCAATACGTGGACTATAATACGCAATATCAAGCACCTGATTATTTACCGCCTTCAGACGATAGTGCATCTAAATCAGTCAATTTTGAAAGCTTCGGTTTGAAAAATTCAAAGGAATCATCGAAAATTCAGTACAATCCTTATCAGGAACAAAGAATCGTATCTTCCACCTATGCACCAGTACAAAGGAAACAAAATATCGTAGTGGAAACTTCAAAATCAAATTTACTTGGATTCGGTACAGTCGGTCCAGATGCTGGGCTAGTCTCCACAGCTAGTTTTACCACATCGGAACCAATTGTGTCGACAACATACAGGCCGATTGTTAAATCTACTACGAGTGCACCGGTATATAAATACGTTGAATCTACTACACCTTTTAGAGCGCGCGAATACTTACCGCCTTCGGAAGAATCTAAAGATGCGGCTTCCGTCGGAAGATATGAATTGAACAATTATGACCGATCGAATATTAGAAATCCTTACAGAGTAGCTTCGACGGGATCTTATCAGAGGAAACAAAATATAGTGGTAGAGACAGCCAAATCGAACTTGCTTGGTTTTGGTACTGTAGGTCCTGACGCGGGTCTTGTTTCACCTGTTGCATACTCTACAGAGCCAGTTGTGGTGTCCAGTCCATACTCTTCTACACCACAGATTGTGACAACACCTTACTATAAACAAGAAATAGTTGAAGTCACTCCAGCAGCGATCCCAGTACGGAGAACAAAACCAAAAGTAGCTGTAGTTACTAAAATAAATGATTTTAATCCGCTACTTGTGAGAAAATTAGGAGCTGTCTGTAGTTGTCAGTCGCCCGTGCTTGTTCTTAAAGGGAAAAGGCCCAATGTGCAGGTTCAACAAGACTTTGACGATTACAGTGATATAATAGATTACAATGGTCGTGGTGATATCCAAAATAACGAATGGGCACAGAAATCATCCAGATTAAGAGTACAGAACGTGAAAAGTGTCACTACCAGCCCTGTTGTTACGTCAACATTTAATCCTATAATTGTTCCCGATGATTCATACTATCAGGATTTCGAAGAAGAAAACAATTACGAATCTGCCTCGCCTAAAGGAGGGCGTTTATATTCAGAGAACTATGTTTCAAGCACACCATTTGTGGTTTCCACCACTGAAAAAGTAGTTAAAATACGACCACGCGTTAAAACAGTGACATTGGCGCCTACATACAAGACTGTATTATTAAATCAAGAGGTTGCCCCCACTGTCATTGCTAAACAATCAGAACCTTTAAGAACAACAGTAGACTCTCAAGCGTTTGATAGATACGGTCCTGGAGGTTTAAGAAGTAGAGATGAGACCTTGCAAGGGTCAGTAGACTGTCAAAGAGCCGGTTTATTCCGTCATCCCAAACAATGTAACAAATTCTACGCCTGTAGGTGGGACTGTACGAAACAAAGATTTACTCTCCATGTTTTCAACTGTCCTGTTCAATTGAGCTTTGATGAATCTTTGGGTGCTTGTAACTGGCCCAGTCAAGGTCCCGCTTGCCAAGGTGATACATTACTCACCAATAATCTGTAAATAATGCTACCATACTTGCTACGAAAATAAATCTCCTCGTGCCATTGAAAACATGATCGAAATCTTCTATCATTATTAATTTTTATGAAGGTAGTTAAAAGTCTCTCTATTTGTAATCTTTTAAGCTTATTTATTTGTTTGGTTTTGTTAATGTTATTTTTATTAAGTTATTTATTACTCATTCAATGTGCTTGAGCTTCCATCACAACATTTGACACCTATGAATCATTAGTTGTTACCAATGCCTAGTTCATTTAGCGTTACGTTTTGTATAATTAGTAAAGTCATATTTTGTATGTTTATAATTGATAAATAAAATAAATATAGAATTAAACGCTGTGTAAATATATCATTTTATTGAATAAAAGTTATTTTCATTATTACGTGCCCAAATAAAGAGTTAAATACTTAATGCAACTGGTTTTTCGACAGAAGCTAGAGTGTTTGCATATTTAGAAATTATAGGATCTATCTCTTCCTCAATAAATTCAGTAACCTGTTCGGGAGCTCTGCCGATGAAAGTTGATGCGTCTAAAATGTTATCCAACTGTGGTATAATAGGAGCAAAGTATGGGTCGTTCTTTACTCGGGCTATCAAATCGTTGTCTTTACCGTGTTGTTTAACTTGAGCTCCAGCTTCATGAGATAGAACTCTTATTTTTTCGTGGCAGACTTGACGATCGCCTCCTTTTTGCACCATTGCCATAATAATATTTTCCGTTGCCATGAACGGAAGTTCCTGGTTAATATTACGGGCGATCACTTTGGGATATACGACTAACCCTTGGCATATATTCAGTAGAGTTAATAATGTTGCATCAGCTGTAAGAAATGCTTCTGCGAGAGTAATTCGGCGATTGGCAGAGTCATCTAGGGTGCGTTCTAGCCATTGAACGGCGTGAGTATTCGCTGCATTTGCGTGCAGAGTAATTAAATGACGGGCAAGAGCACAGCAGCGTTCCGAGCGCATAGGATTTCTTTTATAAGGCATAGCACTTGATCCAATTTGGGAAGCTTCGAATGGTTCTTCTAACTCTTTGCGTGACGCCAATATGCGAATGTCAGAACACATCTTATGTACAGTAGCTCCAAGTCCTGATAGTGCAGTGATGACTTCCAAGTCTACTTTTCTGGAGTAAGTTTGACCGGTGACAATGTATCGTTTATCAAAACCGGCTAGTTCTGCGACTCTTTTGTCCAAAGCTTTCACTTTAAGACCGTCACCTTTGAAAAGCTGTAGGAACGATGCTTGTGTGCCCGTAGTACCTTTGACGCCACGGAAACGAAGGTCGTCTCTTGCGCGAGAAAGAGCTCGCTCATCCATAAGTAAATCACTAAGCCAGAGCGAAGCTCGTTTCCCAACGGTGGTCAATTGGGCTGGTTGGAGGTGTGTGAATCCAAGAATAGGGACCGATCTGAAAATACAAATAACAGATACGTTTAACAAATTATAAAGTTTTAAAGCTTTTCTTACTATTTTCATATTATGGAAATCGGTCACCATAGCTCTATAACTAAGTATCTAAACGCTTGCAAAAAAATGCGCGCTTGCAATACAAGAGTTGGGCATTGCCTACTCTGATCTCATCCCGTACACGTGGAAGACTGGGACTTTGTTTTACTGTGGCTTTGGTTTCTCATAAACGGACGTTCCAATTCAAGCGAGAGTCCGACATACGCTACCTCACTTCGTAAAAATATGGACTTGCTGACTGGTATAATGACGGATGTGACAAAACAATAAAAACCAACATGATAGTCGTGTTTTAGTAGCGTGGCAGTCCTCACGACTATTGCGTGATTGTATTTAAGTTGTTTGAATGCAATGCATTGTTTACTTTCGTGACATCCTACATAAGAGCTGAATGTTTGTATGTTTGTATATTTGTTACTCAATCGCGAAAAAACGGGTGAACGGATTTGGATAAAATTTGGCACACGAAATTATGTTCTATGTTATAGGATATGGTTTCCGCACTCCATTACGTGGTTTCATTACATTTGGACGTTAGCCCGTATTCTGGTTCACGAAAGACATTACTTGAATTCGGGCACCCGTAGCAATATTTACACTGGAATACGGACTGGAAGACGGTGTTTGGTAACCAAAACGAAAATTACCCTAATACGGGTAAATGACTAATTATAAATGGCTCCGTTCATTTACAATTAGACGTTTACCCGTATTCCAACGACCAAGTATAATCGCGTCATTAGTTGCTTAAGTGGACCCTATAGATTACCTGAATTGAGACATAAGGTACTTTTTATCCCGAAAGAATTTTAGGTTGCTGGGGGATTCGCAAAAAACTAAATTTAACGGACACGAAGACTTGGGCGGCCGTTAGTAATATTATAATGTGAAAGTTTGTATGTATGTTACTACTCAATCACACAAAATCGACTGAAAGGATTAATTTGAAAACACACAGACAACTTAAATTTTACACACTGATAACTTTACTTATAACCTGGAAAGTGAGATAGGTATTTTTTTATGCCGGTTCCTGAAGGATTTAAAAAAAAGCTAAAGTTAAACGGCGAAGTCGGGCGGTCGCTAGTAGACAATAAAATAATCGTAATGCTGGATGTTTAAAGCTTCAGAAAATATTACTAGAAAAAAAGGCTTCGCTGCCTAAGAAATGTTAGAGAAAATTCGACATAGCTAGAATAGCTAAGGGTGTAGGTTCGAGTCTCGTCTGATGCCCGGGCCGCGTGGAATTTTTTCTAGTAATATATATACAGGGTGGCCGGGGAGTTGACGTTCAAGCGTAAAATTTAGATACTTTATGATGAGGAGTATCTAAATCACCCCCATGTATGTTCTACGATTTTGCGTAGTTTTCGAGTTATAATTTTTTAATGATTTTTTCGTAATTACCACCTAACATCCGTTTTAGATTTTTTTCTCATTCTGTTGGACGTTTCTGGTTCAGTTTTTTTTTGTGATAACTGACTAACATAGTCTAACCTAGCGCCCTAAAACTTATGGTTTATCTAGGCATTGCAGAATTTACTTAGAATTTGTTCGAAAGTTCAAAATAACGATTTAAGCTCAGTACACACAAATTTTCAAAGTATGAAAAATAAAATGTAAATGGGGGGATTTTGAGTTCAAAGTGCTTTTAGAAACTTCCTGAAATATTAAACTTTAAAAGAAGGCCAAATAAAGATAGGGTTAATGGGGTTTTTTTTCTTTAACTGACTTTCAAAGTAAATTAAGGCATTTTCAAAGGAATTATTTTATTTTATTAAAATCTTTGACTTTCTATGAGTTATGATGGATATGAGTAAAACGCAGTTAATTGTGAACAAATTATCACAAAAAAACTGAACCAGAAACGTCCAACAGAATGAGAAAAAAATCGAAAACTGATGTTAGGTGAAAATTACGAAAAAAATCATTAAAAATATTATAACTCGAAAACTACGCAAAATCGTAGAACATACATGGGGGTGATTTAGATACTCCTCATCACAAGGTATCTAAATTTTACGCTTGAACGTCAACTCCCCGGCCACCCTGTATATCCTTAGAAAATACAGATTGTTAAGTGTCTGGAGATGCTATTAAAGCACAAATATCACATTCATTATGATAGCCATACGTGGAGGGCTAGGGCTAGGAGAGGAGAACAACATAGAATGCGCGTACCTTAAGATATTATCATTATATTATTATTAGTTGCGTGTTTTTTTTAATTGATACCTACTTATACTCATCGGCGAATTGCGCGAGTCTGCTGATGACAGCGGCCAGTCTCGGCAGCAGTAAGTCCAGGCCGTGCCTTAGCACTATCAAGTCGGTATTGTCCCCGACGTAGCACGACGTAGCACCGAGGTGTATGATCGGAGCTGCAGTTGGACAGCGCTGCGCCAGCGCATGAACATGGGCCATGACGTCATGACGCACGCGCTTCTCGTGCTCGGCTGCGCAAGCGAAGTCGATGTCGTGGATGGCACCTTCTAGTTCGGCGATTTGCTCGTCCGTTATGTCCAAGCCCAATTCCTGAAAATCATAAAAATATTTATCTGAATAGACGTACATAAATGGCAGGATGGATTTGTTAGTTGGTGTAATATAGTACTCCTGTAGTAATGTTTTCTACTCCTTTGGTTCTGGGTTCGCATTCGGGTAGGGGCATTAGTTTGTAGATATTATGAACCCAAAACAATGACAAACTTTATCGCACTTCAAAATTCCACATGGCTATTCACAGTGCCGTCTTAGACCTATTGGAGGCCCTGGGCATATTAGGATAATGGGGCCCCTATGACTTCCGTTTGGTGATTTAACAGGAACTAGAGACTTTGTATTTGATCTGAGGGGGCCCCCTATCGATCGCGGGGCTCTGGGCACTTGCCCAAAGTGCCCACTGGGAAAGACGGGTCTGGCTATTCGTTTTTACATTAGACAGCCTTATATCTATTTAAGAGAGGTAGGGCATAGCGGATTTTCCGCTCGAATTGGAGCGCCCACCTGGGGAAGTAACCTCCACCTTACAGGAGAACGCAGTAAAGTAACACAACATTTTGGTGGTGTTATGTTTATGTCGGTAATGTTACGAGGCTCCATGGGGTACGGGATTGGGTCAGTGTAGGCAACGGTACGAGAGATATTTTTGGTATCGCAAGCGTATCTAAGCTATGGTGGCCGTTTGCCCTCAGTCGGGCCATTTGCTAGTCTATCACTCTTTTAACATTAACAACATGTTCTATAGGAAATGAAAAGCAAAAGAAGAGACATTACAAACTCAATAATACGAAAAGTCACCCCGCTTCGCACAGCAGTATCTTCCACCTAGGGAAGAATGCAAACCCCATAATAACACTACTTGTTCTGTAGTAGTTGTATGTATTCCTTCAGTTTAAAGGTATATTGCCGAATTTGATAGGATTGGGTTAAAACATAAAAAAATATACTAATCAATATTTCTAGTCAAATTCAACTAATAAGGTTCTTACAATTTACCTCAGAACCTACTTTCATATAATATTAAGTAAGGCTAATACAATTACACTAATTAAATTATAAGTATTAAAAATAAATACTCGACAATAATTGTTGCATTATGTTGTGTTAATAAAAAGTTTGTTCGCAATTAAACATGAGTCAGCGGAAAGCTTCGAAACTTTCATCAAAACACTCAAGTTTATTATGATAATATCAATATATAATCCTTTCACTTAACATATAAAATGATAAAACAAGAGATATAATGATGAATTGATGTTATTACTTACTTGTTACAAGTTTGCGACCACACAAGAGAGAAAGTTGATAGAAAGCAACATCATAAATCTTGGCATTACTGCAGTAGTTGGAAATTGAGCAAATGAGTAATAAAGAATAATATTAGCGGACGCCATTAGGTAGGATGGATGTTAAATGATGTAGTTATAATGTTAGTTAGTGATATATGAAGGATGTTGATTTATTTGAAGCATTAAGAGCCCTTGAAGCACTAAGACATTTTTTGCAAAAAATCGTAATTTTTGAGCGCCTCGTTTACCCCCTTAGAAAAGGTTTAGAGTATTTCCAAAGAAGTATACAGTAGTTTTCCTATTGTAAGTTAATATAGAATATTTGTAAATACTATTTTCTTTTTTTTGTACTGATCGTATTACTGCAGCTAGTTTACCGAAAAAACGATAATATGCACAACTTCAAACGCCTCAATCTTTATTAATATATATATTAATCAATAAATTAGATTAAATTAATTATTATGACATTAGAAATATGTTTTTGTTGTAACATAATGTATTAGAATTTTTATTTTCCATCTCATTAATTATCAAAATAAATATCTAACTTCCGTGAGTTTTCCCAAAAAATAATGCAGGTTTACCTCGTATTTTGATATTGAATTAAAAAGAATTACTATCAAAAACCTTCATAAAACTAATCTACCATCATTGTACTACTGAAATATGTATATGTTTTTGTAGGAATTAGTTAATTAATAATTATTTTATAAGACTCGAAACTTCACCCGTAAAATGCAATAAATACTGGTGCAAATCTACCTACGCGCCGATTAGTACGGCAGCGGCGCAATTTTGTAAAAGGGCTCTTCTTTAAGTTAATATCCACCATTATGACTTCAAGTGATGGCTCAAACACCATAATTAAATTATACTACGAAAAAGCTGTGTAATATTTATATTTAAGCTCCCGTGTACAATTTTATATTTTAGTTTAATAATAGTTTGACTATAAAAGTGCGAATGAATGTTTGCATTTAACCACTAAAGTTTAATAATTACCATATTGTTAAAAACGTACAATTTTTTTCAGTATTTATATAACAATAATTGCCTAACCACAATAATGATGATTTATGATATACAAAAATAACTTTATAACATTTCTTGTAACAAAGAAATCGATGTACGTGGCACGTAATGCTTCATTCACTAAAACAATCTCTACAATGTTAACATAAAGAGATGATAAAAAAGCGGTTTAGGCTACATAACGCCAATTTTTTTTTTTAAGAATTGAGCAATCACAAATTTATTTTAAATCTTCCGCAATTTTGATGTTCTTGATCCCGTGATAACTCTGAATTCTCAGTAAGAGCTCAGTAAGGTTATTGTGGACAACAATGTTGTTTCATATAGGTACTTTCTTGATGTGGGCAAATGGTTTTCATACTACTAGTAGTATTTTTTGTAACCATTATTCGTTTAGAAAATTAGAATCTGTTCGTTATCCTTTAACGATGTTCTTCTATATTATTATAATTTAATTCCGTTTAATGGTACAAACATTATTTTTTGTGAAATCGATCATCCATCATCAGACTACCTACTCATGTATCCACTGCTGGGGCATCGAAAATTTAACTATGGATATAATAGGGAAGTCCTATTATATCCATAGTTAAATTTTCTTTGCCTTTTTCAATATAATAATATTGAAGAATATCGTTATACGATAACGAACAGATTCTAATTTTCTAAACGAAACTTTGGACAGAAAAAGGCAATTTATCCAACACGCGGATCGAGTGACTCCAGTTGTGCAGTCCCTGTTTTTACTTTAGTTTTTAGTTTTTACTCAAAATTAATAGTTTACAGAAGACTTTTAGTCATAATTGAATTACATGCATATTCCCTATTTTGTAATTTGAACCTTGATTAGATAATTAAGTTAATTATAATCCAACTGTTGAATAAGTTTATTAAAGAGGATGCAAAGAGATATCTAGATAAAAAAAATAGTGGAAAATGTTCATATCCGAATACAAACTATTATTTTTCTAGACAAAAGGCGTCAAAATAATCTGTACGAAAATTATATTCTTTTCGCATAACAATGACATGTTGATTTCATTGTCGATTGCCACTATTTACGCTTTCTTTTCCGGTAAAAACGCACAAAGGGCTAGTCGGTGAAAATGACAGAGCCAAAAACGATTTTGTAACGTCTGCACAATGCATCAAATGTGTGTCATCTTTAGCTTTGTGGTTACGGTAGCTTAGCTGCTAGTATGACGAATTATGTGAAGCACTCGTTAGAAATATGTAGATAACTGTGTTGCGCAAGTGTGCCAACTTATGGTAATCTTCATAAAATGTAAAACGTAAGGAATGCCAACGCATTAAAGGATTTTTAGAATATTGTAGAAGCTCTATGACAATGTTTAAATTTTGAACAATGACGATGATGAGGTGATTTACTTATAATACTACTCTGAAATGTAACCAAAAATTTAAACAGATGAAACTAAAACTAATGTCGATTAAAACTCTTGAAAATTGAGAAATAATGTAAAATAATACATTTCCACTGCTCCAATAATTAGAAAGTATATCTTTATTATTCAATTTATTTGAAAATCTAAACTTGATGGAGCAAAAATTTGAGAATTGTTCGTAAAATTTTTGTGTTCGTAAATTCAAAGACTTGTTGAAAATAATAAATAGTAAAATTTAATTGGATGATTCGCTAGAAATGTCTTCGTTAATAAACTACACCCTTGCGATGTCGAGAAGGATTGCTAGTATATTTTTCAATTGGTAGGCATTTAATTAAACTGTATGACACCATTATGAGATATTTTATTTTTAAATCCTTTGTGCTTGAACTTCAATGTTAATTACAATAGTTACATCATGAAAGTAGGTTTTGTTGAAATCAGCTACTTGCCCGTAGTAAGCTGAAGCTTTGTGTTTAAATGGCTCAGATGTTTATGTACTTATTTGTATAAACCATTGCTACTGTTGTCCTCAGAATTGACCTCAGAAAACTTAAACGAAATGTTAAAGCCGAACCAAGCCAAAATTAAAACTTCTATAAGTACTAGAAACATCAATGAAACAATGCTTATTGAAAGTGAAGTTAGAATCAATATCGACGTTTAATTTAGAGAGAATGATATTAGTACTACATACTCACTATCATTCTCTCTAAATTAAACCTGTCCTACTAATTCGCTTGAAGTGATAAGATAAAGGTGGTTGGACATCGCTGATAAAAACAACGCAGGTTGATAAAGCATATCACCCAGTGACGAACCGACTGTTAACAATAACAGACTTGAAACAAAAACGTATCTATGTGAAGAAAAAAGAAGTAACAAAGTTAAAAACTTTTTTGTTGGTGGCAAGCTAATTGGTCAGAGGTTTTCAGTTTTTGAATAGAACAAAATTGATAAGTTATTGAGTGAAAATGGTGTCCGTGCAAACTATAGCCACTATTGTGGTGAAAGTATTCAAGATAGTGAGTAGATATTTTTTCCCTAATTTATCCAAAGAACATACTTAGTCAATGAGGTCATGTATGTGAAATTGTCCATCTCAGATCAAGCATTAGGTCGGATTCATTCAACTTCAATTCAAATTTATCATAAGAGGTATCGATAAAGGTGAATACATGAATACTACCTTCTATGCTGAATAATGGCGGAATGGTATTCCCGCGCACTTAGATCAAAAAAAATCTAATCATGAATAGGCTAGTTTAAGAATATGTAGGTTTTTTGTAGAATTTGACAATATTGATGTATTATCATATATTTTCTGTCTCATGGGGTAGATTTTTGTATATGTAAAATAGTAATGATATTAAAACTCTAAAATCAAAATAATTTCCGAACAAAAGAGCATAGACATAAGCTCAATATCATCAGAAAAAATGATTAATATGTCAAATGAATCACTGAGGTAAAGAATCCTGAAATACAGCGGACCATAGACAATAAACTCGAGTTTCATTTGCAGCGAGTTTATCAACCACAATATGCTGATGTCATACTTCAATGTAGAGCTGTTTATTGGAAAGGTATCGATAACGTTAAAACCTTAGATAAAACCACACTGTGATACTGTTTTTGTGTGAATATTCAATTTCTATCATACACTTGAATTTGTTTTTACTTGAATGCGTCAATATAACAGCAGTCAAAGAGATTTTCAGAACACACAAAAACAAATGATTTCAAAGAATACTAACGATGCTTTTATTAACAACAAAAGTAAATGTTGTCGATTTCGAAATAACCAAAGTAGCAATTAAACCACTTAGTTAAGTGAGTAGGCACCTGTTTCATAAACATGTTCTAAATATTTTCTTATCGTGAACGGTAAAGAATTGGCCTGCGCCATTACCAGCTCACAAAAGCCCTTGCGGCCTCATTTCCTATCGCCTGATAACGCCACACCTTGTTGATATAAAACAACGCAAGGCAGAGCAAATCGTTCGACGGCCCATTAAAACTTTTGGTTTGCACAAAGTACAGTTTTTTGATGTGAAAAGAGCAAACTTAGTTATGATCAATTTAACCTAAAAGTAGGTTAGCTCTGCTCTGGCACAGCTGAAAATAAAACAGAATACAGACGCTTTTAATGAGAAGGCTTATAGGTAAGATGCCTGTCATCAAAATATAAAGTAAACGATATTCTATTTAGTCCGTTAGTAAGATTATCAAACAATAATGGACACCTATTTTTTATTTTGTCAATCAACCAAATAATGACAAAGATAAAGCACGCCAAAGTTTGGGAGTGGGGGCTAGTGACGTTTAAAATATTTACAAAGACGTGACGTTATGCGATATTTCAAATCTCTGTATTGTTTTGATTATGTGAATAAAGAAAAAAGATTAGTCGTCATCCCTATTGTTGGGAAAATATCCCAATAACAAGTTAAGTAAGTTTCCTACTTGTTAGAATATAGGAGAAGACTTAAGATATCTAGTTAATGCCGTAAAAAAAATTGGACAGTTTCATGAATATTATTCTTTTGTATCAAAGTTGAAGTTGAACTAAATGCGACAGTTTGAGACACTATAACCATTCTGACATTATAAACAGGCATGTCTCCTATATTTTCGAACACCAAAGTATTCCGTTTATTAGATTCGTTAAATTGTAGATATTTCATAAAATATGAATGTAAAAGAAAATCAACAATCATTTCAAAAGACAAGCAAAGTTGCGATTTATTCCAATGAAGAAGATTAATGATTCATTGCATTACCTAACAAGGTATTAGTAGCTACCATTCCTTTGCTCCCATAAAGTACTAACCGATATGTGGTACTTAGAATACTTAAAATATTACTCATGAAATTAGTCAGGTGGTGATGTGCATAGCTGAGACCACAACGCCATGACTAATGTTCTGCCTATCTGATAAGCAGTTGTTTGTTCTTGTTTGGCAACTTGTAGGCTCAACATTTACAAAGGACATATCTGAAATCTGAATATTTGAAGGCAATTAAGAGTACTTCTTCTTCGTTGTTTAAGATAACTTGAAACAGTTTTTAACTTATAACCTTTATCCGTATGCACCATCTGTTTTAGTACTGCATTCATATTTTTTAAGTTGGTAAATTAAGCCATAAGTGATTTATGTCAAATACAATAAAAGAACAATAAAATGGACTGAAGCAATCACCCAGACCATTTTATGACGATGAAAATAGAAGATTCTTGGAAATCTTATGCACCTATATAAGTCTAAGTAATTATACAACTAGAAGCATTAATCCGAACGTTCTATGAAAGTAGTGATTATATCGCTGAATTCAGTTTAACAATTTCATATTAAGCCTCATGCGATCAGAGGTTTTGGACTTAAGACTACAGATGCGCGAGATGTTGAATAATCATTAATTGGATTGTTTATAATAAGGATTTTGAAGGATTTCGATGACGAAATCTTCGACGTCAGTCGTCACTGAAATAGTCACACAAAGACAGTAGTTAGATGCATTCTGGTTCCAGTTAAAGTGATTTGCAAGTACTCTTGTTGCTCCCGATGGGCAGATGTTTCTAGATTGCATTAGTAATTCATTAAACGCTCGCTGTTAGCGTCTTAAGATTGCAGGACTTAGGGTTTCCAAAAGCTATTGTTATAATAATATTTTGTTGTAATGTGAAATTAAAATTAATATTATATAATAATTATTATTGCATTAATTAATGTAAATCAGAGAAAATATTTTTTTCCGAAAAGAAGAAACGTAGGTATAACATCCGCATTTTCATAAATGTAACTTTCCTGAATATGTTTTTAATTGGTAGCAAAACCTCTTAAATGTGGCATCAGAGGCCCAAGCATGAACTTTGACAGATCCGCAATCGTATTGTCATCGTCAAATTTTGTATGGCAGGAGCCAGTTTGTTCTTACGTCCGCTGGGGGCGGTGCTTAGTGTTCATAGAAACTTTGACGACGCGATACGATTTACAGAGCTGTCAAAGTTCGTTCTTGGACCTCTGCATACTGGTAGGATTCAGAATCAGATATTAAGAAACTGTCTGCGAAATAGTCATGTGATAATATCTTTAAGCCAATTTAAGAAATGTGACGATGCTAAGGTTTTGTCGCGAAATCAATTAATGGAGATTTTAACTCAACTTTATTATCTATCTCACAATCTTAAATATTTAATTATCATTTAATGCCATGATCATATAACTATGTCTAATATTCTTCTGTTTGGTTCTTCAAAAGTTTCATTGTCTCTCGTTTTCAATTTTATTGTTTTCTATGTTTATCTCTCTCTCTTTGCGAAGGATATATTATATTATATAGGAAGTTTAATACATTCTCATAATAATAATCACAAGAAAACAGATATATCTAGGAAAAAAGAGAAAATATGAACGAAAAATTTATCTTCATTGTTGGGATGGGAAATAATTCTGAACTTGAGACCTAAACGAGTTCAGAGTTCCAAAGAGAGAGTGAGTTCCAAAGACATCCGGAATGCACAGAGAAGGAATAGGAAAAGAAATCAGTTGAATGATTTGGAATATCAAGGGTAAGGTTAGAAAACGAACAACTATAAATATATAAACTAGTAGCCAACCCTATACAGACAATGGGCCCTCAGGGTGTTCGTATACACCGAAGCGTTGCATTCGCCTTGGACCGATCATAATGCTATTTATTGTACGTGATCGATTTGCTTTATGTAATTTGGTATTGCTAATGTGGCTGCTATTTTCTGTAACGTGACTTAGACACTGCCCGGTAGCGGTGATGCGTAATATTGTTGCGCACCTATTGTTAGATATCCTTAGGCTTAACCAACAGATCTTAAAATGTAATTGTAATATATCCTACGCTATATAATATTAAGATATACTTTCCTCTAAATCGTACGTCGATTCTCATCAATTCAGATTTAGAGAAACTAATGATTTAAGAAGATAATGTAGACCAGGCATCAAACATAAGCATGTCAAATAAATCTTGTAATCAACTAGAGTTAAAGTTGGCTAGAAGCCAAGTATAAGTGATGTTATTGTTTACCATGGCGGAATATGGGATTGTATATCCAAACACATAATAATTGGACGACAAAATATACGTATCATTTCTTTTACGTTATTGTATTACTGTTATACAAAGAGAGAATATGTCGTGAAGATATGTTTCCTAGCTTAAAACTTGGGATGTTCTTTGTAACCGTAGGCTCAAATATTTGATGAATGAATGAATCAATTTTATCGTCATATGAAAATTCTCACCTTTAAAATTGACGTAATTAATCTGATTTTATGTTACAATCAATGTCGGCATATTGAGTCGGCTATCAGACACAAAGTCGGTGCTTAATCAGAGAGGAAGACATTAACACTGGTTGAACTCGAGCTTCCTGCTAGCTCGGCAATTATACTCGTTATTACAATTACATCTTGTAATTGCCGGGATATCATAGACTAGAGTTATGCACAGAGAACAATTTTTCACTTAGTATTTTTGAATTTGTTTAATGTAAGTTTTGTTTAAACTTGGAACTTTATGAAATAAAAGAAGAAACACGACCGACGTGACGCTCTTTATGCATGAGTTTTTATTTTTCAATCTTCTTATCAAAATGAATAGACAAATGCAATTGTATAAATATAAATAAAGTCTCCGCTTTGTTTCTTCAACATAGATCCAGTAGTTAAAATTAATATATTTAATAAAATATAGCAACACTAAGTTTAGAACGAAACGCAGTTTTAATTAAATTAACTTCTAAAAGGGGAAATAATGTAAGGGAACTGGGATGATTAAATAATTCCCGAATATTAAAAACCACGCTCGTACATATTCACTTATACAATGCATTTAATATCAGTTTCTGAAAGTTTATTAAGTATAGGCATTGTATTAAACAAAACCTATTGAGTTAGAAAATTGAATTAAGCCGAGTATTAAAGAAACAATTTTGAATTACAAATTACCTTAGCAATTAAGTAATTATAGATAATCGAATTTT